CTCCAAAAAAATTAAAATTTTAGTTTATAAGCCAAAAATGTTTCAAATACTATAATTTGTTTAGATTTATTATTAACACATTTTTTATTTTTTTTGAGTTTCCTCCTTTTCTATTGCAAAGGCCCCATATATTAAAATTAATAATCACAAATAAATAATAAAAAAATTAATTAAATTCATGAATAATTTAAATAATATTCTTTATATTTGACCTTTTTATTTTTACAGATATAATCTTGAGATTGATAAACTATTTTATTATTTTACGAAAAATCCTAAAATATTGTGTAAATGGTTGAGTTCTTGTAACTGAAGATAAAACCATTATTATTTAAATAGTAATACCATTGATAGCATTATTAATGCTGATATTAATACTAGTATTAGTATTGCTTATTATTAATAAAGAAATTTAAAGTTCTTTAAATACTTATGCAAAAAAATACAAAATTATTTGATAAAATACCATAAATAATTAAATCCCTTAAATTTTGAAAGAGCATGAGATAAATCATAAATCATTATATATATAAGTCTAATATAATTGAACTATACTATTTGTATTATAACTAAATATATCTTTCTTTAGGTATTTCAAATAATCAAAATAAAGTTTTATCATTTTCACCTATATAATGATAATTTTCTATATAATTAATTTAATATATTAAAAATAAATTCTAAATTAGACATAATAAATTATAAATTAAATAAATTTTACTTTCAATTATTTTAAAATTTTGTATATTATAATGCAAAAAAAGGAATCCACATTCTTAAGATCTTTATTTTTAATTTAATCTTAATTTTAACTAGAAGATATTTCTTTAAATCTAACTTCTCATTATTAGGATTTTTTTTTTAAATTTTGGATATTCTTTAAATAATTTTCATTTTATATAATGAATTTTTTTCTATTTGAAGTTTTTAATTGTCTTTTATTTTATTATTGCTACTATTACTACTGATAGTAATAGTGGTGATAATCATTAACTTACTTTTCTTTACTTTACTATTACTGCTACTGTTGCTAGTAATGGTAATGATAATAGTAGGAGAGATGTTTTTTCTAATTATCTTTTATAAACCTGAATTCTTCTGCATATTTCAGTAATAATTCATTTATTTTTAAAAGAAAAAAATAAATTTTTACTCTTTTTCTTGATATTTTTTATACAAGAATAAGAAATATGCATTGAAAGTTTGTTGAAAATATTATGAATCACCTGATAAGTTTCTTAAATATATTCATTATATTTAAGTAAAACTAGTTTATGTAGCTTATAATATTGATTATAAAAATTGAGGCAGCATAATTTCTTTAATGTATTCTGCAATTTTTTAGTTAATTCTCTCAATTTCTTATTACTGCTGATGATAGTTTGATGGTAATGGTTGTGTTGCTATTGCTGCTATTGTTAGTGCTGCTGTTAATTCTATGATTCTTTCTTCTAAACCTTAATCATAAAACTAAAATTTTTAAATTTTTCATTTAGTATTAGTAAAATAAGATCTACTTCACTTCTAACACAATTATTTATTAACGCTGATTTATAATTTTAAAAATTTTTATTAGATAAATGTCTTATATCTTCTTATATAAATAGATTACTATGCAACTTTATTGATTTTTTAATCAAATTTTCAGACAAGGTATTCTAATTATTAAAGATATTAATTATTAGTTATCATCTGATATTATATCATAAAAAATAAAAATCTATTATGTTTTGAATAATAATGCTTGACTATAAATAATTTGGATTTCAAATTATATTCTCCATACTGAGAAAACATAAGATACAAAACTTCATGTATTTTCCCATAAATAGATCATTTTAAAAACAAAAAAAAATATAAAAAAATAAAATAAAAAAATATTTACCTTAAAAGTTTGATTAGAGGTTCTTATCACTCTCTATTTACTTGCTTCTTCCTATTATTTCTTGAAATTACTGCTTGAGATGCTTGGCTTAAACAACTCATAATTTATTTGAATTTATTAAAAATAATATAATTATTTATAATACTAATTTATGGTTAATTAAAATTAAATTATATTAGTTAATATTTATCATCAATATTTTCCAAATAAAATATGGATGTATTTTATATTTTTTTTTATTATATATAAATTAGCTTATATATCAAATGTTTATTATAAATTCTTGAAACACGTGAGTTCAATTGATGATAACACATTTTTGAAGTTTTCGTAAAGTATATAGATACTACTACACCGAAAATTGAGAAGAACGTCACAAGGTTCGAATTTCAACCTTGAACAATAATTATCAAAGATATCTGAAATCTAAACAACGGTATTGCTTACTCTCCCGTTTTGAGAAATTGCAAGGAAAATTTGCTCTCAAAGGACCTAAATTTCATAATTATTTTTTAAACGTTCAAGTTAACAAAAGGTTATACGATAAAGTTCAAAGTTGAAATAAAGTATTCGATTGTAATCGCTTATGATCCCTAAAGTTAAAAGTATAATAATTACACTTTTAGCACATAAAGTTCTACTATAAGATTGATAGATCTTTAAGATTGTGAGTTCGAAAAGTCGAAACTTTGGTATTTTGTGAAATCTTTCATTAGTGCGTTCGGGCGTAATTGCGCGCATCTAGATTTGAGAACAAAGTGACACAAAACCATATTTTTCTATAGATTTACTTAATAGGATTATCCGGACTAAATTTTACCAATCTATAGTAATTGTCCGATTCTAAAATTTTTTACCATCGAAACGAAAAATTAATAAAAACCTGATAGCGGAAAATAATTAGTGGCAGATGAAGTTGTTTCGAATGGCCGAATAAGTAACATCACATGAAAGTCACTTTCCAAGGACAATTTCGGAAACGTTATGCACGTTATACACGGAAAACCTTACAAAGAGCGAGAAGTATTATTAGGTTGCTTGAATATCCAATAAAGTAATTTTACATTCTAAGCCAATTTGTCATTCATAACGAATTACATTTAATGTGAAAACTTAATCATTTAAACAAAAGCTTATCAATATAAATTCCTTTATATCTAAAATAGAAAACTGTAAAAAGAAATATTATTTTTAGAAGTCAAAATAAAGTTTAATTAAAGTTGGTCGAGTGTTCTATTTCATGAATGCATTTAATTCGTACTATTTTATCGGCAAAAAAAAAATCTTTTTTTGGATGCTTTCATTCGATTTCTGAAACTTTAGGATCATTCTTGGTCGTACAAAGGTTTTTAAAATTTTAGGACTAAATCCGGACCGAATAAACATTGGGGACAAAGACGCATTGTAAAATGATAGCAAAAAGTACAAAAAAAAAAAAAAAAATTAAAATAAAATAAAATAATAGTCGAATTACATTAATTTTAATAAAAAAGAGTCACATGAACTTTATTGTATTAATGATTTTAATTAGCATACGGATAAATAAGAATTTGTTAAAACAAAGAAGTTTAATTTACGCATATATATATATTATTTATGCTTGGTTATATCAAAATAATATGAATTCATAAAAAAATAAATTGTCACACTTTCGGCTACAAGGTTCCATCTTAGATCCATTTAATTTGCTGAAAAAATTCCCAAAGTTTACTTGCTTTATTCACGTCTATTCTTAATAATTTTTGTGCGTCGCTCTTACGGAATGGTAAATTCTTTTCAACGTAACGTCTCGCGGAAGAAATTAAAATATATTTTGAAGTTAAATATTGTACGGGTGTCAGGCGTAATATGGAAGTTACATGGGCTTCTTTTGGATGCAACCAAGGATAATGCGTTAAATGGTGAATGTTGAGAGGTTGTCCCTTCCATTTGATGTTTATGTTTGCATTATCTAACGATGACATGTCGATATTTAAATCTTCAATGTTTTTCTTGAGTTCCCCGATCTCCATTATAGGCGAATTCGGGAAGAGAACCGATTTTGTTTCAGTGAAGGTTGTTGAAGTAATATTTAAAGTGGATTCTAAAAGTCCACGATCCTGCATCACTCTAGCCAAGCTATTGCTCTTTCGTTTTCTTTCCGAAACAGGTTTATCGAAACGTTTAATTTTAGAAATTTTTGTCTTCTGCACACTTGAAGGGGAATGTAGCAAACGAAACGTCGAAGAGCTAGGCGAATCGATTGGTGAATTCAGTAGATAATTTATTTTCATTAAACAAGACGAATCTTCCACTTTTATGTTTGGTGCAATCTTTTGATATGATCTTACGCGTGAATAACTGTTTTTTTCCACAACATGCATTTCCCGAGTTTTCGTATCTGGTATGTTTAATTTTGTTTCGGTTTGAATTGTTGTTTTTCCTGCTACCTCATGATTGTTGAAGCATGTGGAAAGTTTTTTATCGTCTGTGCTAGTTTTTATTGGATCACCATTTGTGCTAATCATGTTGTATGGTTGCTTGTAAACAATAGATTTCGTGCTGGATTGATTTCGTTCTACACACCAAGCGAATTCTTGAAGAGGTTCATGCAATAACGAATTGCTTGAAAGTTTCGGTTGTGAAAGAAAATAATCTGTTTGTTGATTATGATCAAAGTTTAGATTGTTATTTGGAGAAAATTGACGTGTTTGATCAGGTGTGCGAAGGGAGAAATGGTTCAGAGTGTTGAAAGGAGAATTTTTAAGCGAAAGGACGTCCTCAAAGACTGCTTTTTGTCTTATTGTAAAGTCATCATTTGGAGAAGTAGGAGCTGATAAGGGTGGCGTAGGTGTTTGAGATAAATTGTTATGATTAATATCATAGTTATCATAGATATCATGTTGCGAATACATTACGTTACTTTAATTAATAAAATAATTTTTGATATTCAAGGTTCGTTAAAAATAATAGGGGGATTTTTTTTTTTTATTTTTTTTAATATATATAGTTTTTTTTTTTAAACAAAAAGGCCAAAACTTTTTTCTTTTTTTTTTTTTTTTTTGGTTAAAAAAGGGGGGTAAGGATATTTGCTAGTTCGATTGGATGTTTTATACGTTTATCAATGAAACAAAAAAAAAGTGAAAAGAAAAAAAATAGAAATTACGCTCTATTTATATATTTGTCTTTACATATCTTGATTTTCAAATTTTGTTTACCGGTTAAGGTCGTTCTAGAATGTTCAACATATAAGAATAGGTGTTTCGGGTAACAATGTGTAGTTCTTTCTGTTAAAAATATAAGAGGATTATTTTCGATCTTATGTTATTTATTTTATTTTTTATATGTAATAAATTCACAGCATTCTTTTTGACTTATTGCCCAGAATTAATTAGTAATGATTTCTTATACGGTACGGAACAATTGTTCTTTATTTTATTTTTTTTTCACGGTAAACAAACAAACGAACCAATTAACATACGAAATTCGTGAATCTCTCTTATATACATTCAAAACTTTAATGCACACGGGGTAAATTTATCACAAATAATTTAGTAATACGAAATTCGTTGAAAAATTATTATTAATCTGCAAATTTAATAATCGATATTCATTTCAAAACGATAAATTTCCCCATAAACATTGTGGTCATAGCGTTTTATGAAAGATTATATGTTTTTTTTAATTAGTCATTGCTTAATAATTACAAAATTTTTTTTGTACCATCTAACAGGGCAAGGTATGAATTCTTTTTTAAGGTCAAAAACAATTTGTTAAAAATTTAAGTCTTGAGAAACTTCGTTACTACATGGCCAAGACTCGATAACCTAGGACCAATCGATTATTTGTCAAAGTCATCATTTTGACGAGGTAAAAACTTCCATACCGAATTAAACCTATTCATTTCGCATCTTGGCAATAAAAAATTTCGCTAACCCTAATTTCGACTGCATTAATTACCATTCTCGAAGCGGAATGGTTTCAAATTTGCCAAATTATTTTTTTTTTTTTTAATTCTTAAATAAAAAATTACGTGACGACGTGATATACGAACATGAACATGCTTTACGATATATTTTCAGCACGCGACCAAAGTATATAAAGGACCGAGATATCGCAGAGGGGTAGAAACGTCTTTTTTTATTTATAAACGTTGAAGACATCATTCGCCAGTTATTTCAAGGGTCGCTACTAAAAAGTCATTGCTGCGGCAAATCAGACTAACGCAATTTAGCGACTTAATCGATTCAAGTAATTAAGCGTTTTGAAATCTTTTAGCCGCGGTTTTTCCCCAAAAAGTTTTCCGACATCACGTTTACTCATTTCAGATACGTTTGTCGAGTCGGAAAAGAAAAAAATCTTCATAAAACATTCGCGAAAAAAAACCAATGTGGGTTAGATTGCTATGCAATTGACATTACAGGGGAAGAGGGTGGAAAAAAAAAAAAAATAATAGAACCCGCGTGACACAATTTTAAAACTTATCATAAAAGGAAAAGGGCACCTATAAAGAAAAAAAACCTGATGAAACGATGTTCACACGCGTTCTACCTTTTTATGAAATAAGTTATTTTACACACGGAATTATTACAAATGAATATTCCGTACATCGAAAAAGTAAAAAATAAATAAATAAAAAAAAAAAAGTGATTAAAATAACGTTAATTGAAATTTTTTCTTTGTATTAAGGTTTGAAATATTTGTCCAAATGGTTCTAAATGATTATAACGATCATTTCTAAATAAATTTTCCGGCATAATTCCGGACGCCATCTTGATACAGAGAAGATCCTTTCCTTAAAGAATCTCACCATTGAAATGATTGGTTTGAACGATGACAATAGGCTGAACATTACAAAAGATCAATAATAATCATTTGTAGAAGAAAATAACACCATAAATAAAAGGTTTTTCAGATGGAATTTATTACATTATTACACCTACACAGTTGAATTATAGTTATTATAGTTCGGAACAAAAAAAAATAGTTTCATCCACTTATAAACCAATCATCTGCCATTCGACATGAAATGTTGATTCGATTGGACGTTTCAAGTTAAAAATGAAATTTTCACGTGGTCACGTGACGGTACATTCTTCCATTTCTTTGTTTCGATATTTTGATAATCTTGGCTAATTAATCTTGGCATGCTCTAGACCTCAATCAAAAGAGAAATTTAATAGGAAAAAAAAAAAAAAAGCTAAATGTCTTGACATGAAAAATGTCTTGTAAATGTGATTGTGGTACAAACATCGTTTTATTTTATTTTTTTTTCTGTTACAAAAAGACTTTTTGGAAAGATCTTTGGAAGGTTTTAATTTATTGAGTTCTTGCTGTATAATGACGGAAAAAATGCATGCAAATTACAAATTGAATTCAAATCGGTAAAATGAGAAAAGGGCTTTTTGAATTACTTTATTTAGCTCCACTACATACATGCACGTGATCCTATTATGTCCAAATGCCACGCAAAACCACATTTTGCCGGAATAAATCCCGAATAAACAACGTTAACGACGACAACGTATCACACGTGTGAAAGATGTAACGTTTGATTCTAAATCTTACGCAGTCGTTTGTATGACGCGTTGTTGAACTTGTCACCACATCATTATTTATTTATTTTTTTTTTTTTTGAGAACCGAAAAAAATCAAGGACATAAAATTTATATTTCGGACGAACCCTTCAAAGCTAACGAGATAGGAATGTGAATATTTTTTCGATAGGGTAAGGCAAACATGTGGCTTTGATTGCTTCCCCAAAAGGAACACGGATGTGTTCGGTGTTTCTCTAAATATTTTGTAGTCTAGATTGTAACAAGCTTTTGCTCCTGATATTTTGTATCCTGTTAAAATGATAACCTTATATATGTAAATGAATAGAATCAACAATGATGCATCCTAATTTATCACATAGAAAACCGAGAACACACAAAGTTAATTCAATTCAGTTCTACATAATTGTCTATCATTAATGCGGTTAGATTTATTATTGTCATATGAAATGTTATGTTGTTAATTCGAACATTGAAACTTATTTTTTTTACATACAATTACAAGGTGGTTTCCGTAAATTCCCTCTTGTCTTCCCGATGAGTATATCTTTCCTATTATGAGTCACCAAACTTTTTCGAATTGTCGACCATCCAATTAACCTTGCATGAAGATCGGAAGGATCTAGCTCATCGGATGATTGTTGAAGAACAAATGACTTTCATTTCCTCAATCCTTATCATGAACGTTGACGTTATTTTTAGAACTTCCTTGCTTGCTTTTCGATAGCAATTATTTACCTGACGAGGGAAATGTGCGCTGAGAATTAGGTTCGTTCGGTGTTTCCCTTTTTTTAACATTTTTTAAACTTGCATTTGATGTGATGTATTGTTGTTCATCAATTTGTGATCGTTCGGTAAACATCCGTGCTAATCCATACCAAACCGATTGAAAAAAAGGTTTCATCAATTGGTTTTACTCGGAATAGGGGCAATGAAATGTTGGACCTTTTTGATTTTATACTTCACATGACCACCGTAAACCCATTATTTTAATCCTAAATTGGTGAAACTCGGATTTTATTGGTGAAGTAAATGTCACGCCATATTATGTCATCATTCCCAATTAACCTTAAATGAAAGAAGTTTGCAAGAAAATTCTTTTAATGGAATCTTTCCGTTTTTTTTTTAAAAAAAATTTGATGTGGGATTTGGTTTTTTTTAAAAAAAAATTCCGATCTTTTTTTGATGATAAATTTCTTAATTCTTGAGGTTCTACATCACTTTTTTTTTTTTGATGACATGTGTGGTTTTCATATGGGTTGGTATCAATCACTCTTAATTGGCGTATATTTACTTTTTTTCCCTGGAAATCTTTAAAAGGAATTTTTTTAAATCAGGATTGATGGTGATATTTGATGGTATGACCGATTTATGGAAAGATTGTGGCTTTGTGTCCTTGCATTCATTTAGTACAAAATCACGAAAGTAAAGATGGTTTGTACATCGATTTAATTTATACTTTTTATTCGAATCTAATAACTTATTAATCTAAGTTAACCATTTTGAAAATCTTTTTTTTTTTCCTTTTGACTTTCCTTGCGAGTTGAAGCATCACATTGCAGCACATTACGTATGTTTGCTTGCCAATTTTCCTTATTTAATCATTGAAATTTACCTAGGTATAAATAAATCCATAAATAACAGAAAATTTCTCTGACAAGATAAGAGAATAAAGAGAGATTTTTATAAATAATCAACCGGACCTTGACATGTAACAACATCCTTTAACTTTGTAAGTCCGAGATTTATTTTAGAGTAAAACTTTTTCAGAGTTCAAATTTTTCTACGAAGGTAAATCCCCCACAAACAAAAACACCTTTTTAATCGCGCGTGTCTCATTGTCTATCAAGGTACTTATTTCAACGCCCTTGTTCCTTTATAAGTAAATTCAATTTGGAAAAATTTTTTTCTTTATTTGCTATTTTTGTCGTCCCCTATATTTATTTAACATTTTCCGGATGATTGTGTGGTGGCTGATATATTTGTTTTTTCATCATAAATTTTGTACAACGAGACTTTTTTTTTTTCATTTTTAATTTAATTTTCACTTATTTTTTTATTTTTTTTTCTTTCAGGGAATAAAAAAAAAAGATAATTCTAGATTTTCCAACACCTCAAATTTGCAAATTAATAATCCGGGATGAATAAAAAATAATTAAATAAATTAACCAGTAGCCCTTCTGAATTTTAATTATCACAACCGTACACCCCGAATATGTATGTATCTTTCGTTAGTGTGATATATTAGTTCAAAATACCGGTAGCACAAGAGGGTTGATCCGCAAATTTCTTGGCCTAACATTTAGCCGCTCACTTTTTTTTTTTTTTTTAAATTAATAAAAGCAAAGAATCACAAAAAA